CTATCTATACCATACTAGTATAACAGGTACTTACTTATCTATACCGATCTATACCATACTAGTGTACCAGGTACTTACTTATATATACCTATCTATACCATACTAGTGTAACAGGTACTTACTTATCTATACCTATCTATACCATACTAGTATAACAGGTACTTACTTATCTATACCATACAAGTGTAACAGGTACTTACTTATCTATACCATACTAGAGTAACAAGTACTTACTTATCCCTTTGACATGAAGGATGAGTCTAGCTACGAGGGCCAAGTACTCCTCCTGAAATACAAATAGCAAATAAAAACAAGTCATGTTTAGTGCCATTAATGATTTCTTTGTCAAAAATGTTCAGATTGTTGCTTCGTTTTATCAAGTATTGAGGTATTTTACAAAGTTAGCCAAAAAAGAACACATAACGATAGACCAGACATTTAAAAAGCAACAGTTGATATTGAATGCTGAAATACATGTTTTTGTGTCAAAATAAAGAAATGGCCATGGTCACTTTAATGAAATTTATGTTTAATATTGTTATACTTACACGGGTCTTAGCTTTCAGGAACACATGGTTTTCCATCTCCATGCTAGATTTGGTCATTGGAGTAGCAGCCATCCTCACGGCTTCATCTCTGTAAAACAAAAATCTTATTAAGATGTCATAAGTTTTAACAGGAGAAAGAGAAATGCAACGGCTAGACCGAGTTTAAACCTTGGACCCTCTGAACTCTAGACGCACGCTCTAACCAATTGAGCTACCTGGTCGGCAATAATCAACCTAGTCCAGTTCCGCTACATAAGTAAAGGTGAAACATGATTATCATGTAGTACAAATTATATCATTGTTACAGAGATAAAACCAACTTCAGATATTTCATCAAGGCTAGTCAGTGGATAAAAAAGTATGGGCCTATATTTTTTCCTCAAAAGAAAAAAGGATGGAAGCAGATTGGTAATCATGTAGCAAGAACAATGTATGACCATTGAAGAACAACGTAAACTATGACCATTGAAGAACAACGTAAACTATGACCATTGAAAAACAACGTAAACTATGACCATTGAAGAACAACGTAAACTATGACCATTGAAGAACAATGTAAACTATGACCATTGAAGAAATATCTGATTGGAGGTATATATTAGGATACTTATAATTCTTACTTGCGATATACAGTGTAAATTCAAGAATGTGTTGTGTGAACTAAGACTCATAACCATACTTGCTAACCCTCCCTATTTAGGTGGGAGACTCCCGATTTTGGACCCTCAAATTGTGCATTTTCAACCAGTGAAGTTGCTTAACTATTCCTACTTTTCAAGATCTGATGATTTCATCTGAAAGAACAACTCAAAAGATGCCATTTAAAAGTGTTATTTTGCCCTTGGGTGTACACACATATTATTTATGCTTTTAATTCTGAGCAAGCGTAATCTCCCCCATGGAAATTCCAAAAAGTTGGCAAGTATGCATAACTGACACTGTGTTGTCGGTCGACAGCTCTGTCCATGTTTACTTTTTTCAAATATCGAGCTGAAATTTGGAATATATATCAATAAAAGTCTAACTAATAGCATATCTTCTGATGTTGCTTACTTTAGGGAGTAATTGTAATGTTATTATCTGGCGACGCTTTCTACACTTTTCCTGCTACACACATGTGCCATGCCGCGATCGTAAAAATTCGATATTCAGTATTTTTAAAGATTTTGTCTTCTGTCACCTGAAGACGCTTGTTGTCGGTTGAAAACGCTTTTAAGGAGAACCGCAAAAGATAAAACTGACCACACTGGACGTTGGCTTCAGGTCATGTAATTATCAACCACGTAGACTTTCGTTAGGAGATATATATTTTGAGTATCGACTCAGCTAGGTTGTCATTTGACTAAATAGCTCCTTTAATGGCCTTGTGTTTATATAATTGGTTGTAGCTCCTTTAATGGTCTTGTGTTTATATAATTGGTTGTAGCTCCATTAATGGCCTTGTGTTTATATAATTGGTTGTAGCTCCTTTAATGGCCTTGTGTTTATATAATTGGTTGTGACATATTCACTGGAAATGCATGTTGTCTTTCTGGACATATGGAGCATTACCTTAGTTTTCTTAACAAAAGTGACTACATATGGATACTTCAGGAAAACATATACAGTGCAGGTTATTTTGAATGAATTCATAATATAGGGAAAGCCGTTGTGATTTCATTTCTATTTGAGGGCATATTTCCAAAGGTCCCTTGCCAGGCGGACCCTTTGTCAGATCCCTGGTTTGTCACGGGCCGGGATTCATCTTGAATTCGAACAAAATTAGGTTTTCAAGCAATTTTGAAGGTTTGATACGTAAGTAAAGATTGTTTAAACCGACAGGATTGCTATGAGACCAATTGAGAAGTCTTAAAATGATGAATTTCTTACATTTGAGCGATGACTTTGCGTCTGAAAGCTTCACTGCGCCAATCTTCCGCCATTTTCGTTTTGATATAAAGAGTTAAGCGAAGGGAGGTAACTCTCGTCCACAAGAACGTTGATATATTAGAACTGTTGTGCATGTCCAAATGTCACTAGTTTTGGAGCTTCCAACTCATGTTTTAAAAACATAAACACTTTCACATTTTTTAGGAGATTTCCCTGGATTCCATTTTTTATAACTTTTTGTTGTATAACAAGCTTTCATGAGGTTAATATCAATGAACCGACATTTTATCTTTTTCGACATTTTATCTTTTTCCCTGTTTTAATGGGACATTTTATTCACTTATGCTACAACTTTTCTCTCAAAATTAATTTCATAATTTCAGTCACTGCCAGGGTTAGCGTATCATTCGTATCTGCAGGAGACTTACAGTTGGGAGCAAACTTAACTTGGTATCTAGTGCCCCTCATAGTGCACACGTAGTGAACAAGGAAGTGCACCTGACAAAACATTAAAGTGCACTCCACTTCACTTCAGTATTAACTCCAGTGCACAATGATGTGAACTCCAGTGCACTACAGTGTTTACCAAAGTTTAAAAGACTGAAATACATATTTCAACAGTTGGTTATAATGAAATGGGTTCCTTTATGATATAAAAATTGAAAGAGAAAGGAAGAATCATTCAACTGAATATTTCATAATATCGATACACATATTTTTTTTCATTACTTAAATTTTCAACTGAACATATGTATGTACAATGAGAAAGTGTACACAATCTCTGGTGAGTATAGAAAATCTATAGGTAGCTGTACTATTTCAGAGGAAACAGTTTAAAAGTACACTTCATCATAGTTTAATTCACGTCATCACATTTCATATAAATGTTGTAGTGTCAGGATGGGGGATCAGTATCTGTTATGTGATATGGGTAAATAACGTGAACATTTTTCCTATAATTTCATACTTTTTTTATGAAAGGTTTCTCTATAACACGACATCAATAGAGTAATTCGCTTATTTGTCTTTGTTTTATACAAACAAGTAAAGAAAAGATAAAAATTCCAGAAAAATCTTATATCATGGCATGTCACTATATAGATAAAAGGTCAAGCTTGATGAAGCTATAGATGTGCATTAATTTAAGTTCGTCAATCCCAAGTTGCCAGCCTTCTTATAGAAATTTAAGAAAAAACTATGAGTTAGTCTGATTTTGATTTCTTTGTTATAGATATACAGGTACATGTACATGCTAATGGTTGAATTATATATGATATCTACCTGAGAATATATGGTCAATGACCACCCACTGACCATTCACCTGTGGTCACGTGGGATTCTGATGGGCTGTACGTATACCTAATCTTGAACACCTTGTGTGAAGGCAATTTATCCTGTCAATTAATCCAGCCGATTGTCTGTCCAGTAGATACATAGGTAAATCAGTACACGCTTACAGGTAAGGTACTGTGGCTGTCCCTTCGATCATGACAGCCCCAGGCGCAATGGTACTGCGCCTGTCCCTTCGATCATGACAGCCCCAGGCGCAATTCTATTTCAAAACAGTGACTTTGACTCTACAGTGTACTTTTGTGTTTCACACTACCTTACAAACTGGGTACGTGTTACGGTGTCGTCTCACGTACCATATACATACATTTGGTATTTTCCTATATACAGGTAAGGTATTGGGTGTCATAATCATAATAATAGGGAATTTCAGATTAAATGTCCTAACTTTACATATTATTTCTCTGGTCAAAGTTGTAACATCATTATACCATTTTTTAATAAATTGGTCATGTAAACTAGTTTTCAAAATATATAAGTTCAGCGCGAGTTATTAGCTTTATTGATGTAATGTAATCATTTAAAATGACAACAAAGGGTCATTGTTAAGTTAACTGTACATCATATTGTACACATTACTCCATTATTTATGCAATATAATGGTAAACACACATTCAAAGTAGTTTTCATTAAAATTTTACTATTCCGTCTATACCACATGCCTACGATGCTATTACTATTCCGTCTATACCACATGCCAACGGTGCTATTACTATTCCGTCTATACCACATGCCTACGGTGCTATTACTATTCCGTCTATACCACATGCCTACAGTGCTATTACTATTCCGTCTATACCACATGCCTACGGTGCTATTACTATTCCGTCTATACCACATGCCTACGGTGCTATTACTATTCCGTCTATACCACATGCCTACGGTGCTATTACTATTCCGTCTATACCACATGCCTACGGTGCTATTACTATTCCGTCTATACCACATGCCTACGGTGCTATTACTATTCCGTCTATACCACATGCCTACGGTGCTATTACTATTCCGTCTATACCACATGCCTACGGTGCTATTACTATTCCGTCTATACCACATGCCTACGGTGCTATTACTATTCCGTCTATACCACATGCCTACGGTGCTATTACTATTCCGTCTATACCACATGCCTACGGTGCTATTACTATTCCGTCTATACCACATGCCTACGGTGCTATTACTATTCCGTCTATACCACATGCCTACGGTGCTATTACTATTCCGTCTATACCACATGCCTACGGTGCTATTACTATTCCGTCTATACCACATGCCTACGGTGCTATTACTATTCCGTCTATACCACATGCCTACGGTGCTATTACTATTCCGTCTATACCACATGCCTACGGTGCTATTACTATTCCGTCTATACCACATGCCTACGGTGCTATTACTATTCCGTCTATACCACATGCCTACGGTGCTATTACTATTCCGTCTATACCACATGCCTACGGTGCTATTACTATTCCGTCTATACCACATGCCTACGGTGCTATTACTATTCCGTCTATACCACATGCCTACGGTGCTATTACTATTCCGTCTATACCACATGCCTACGGTGCTATTACTATTCCGTCTATACCACATGCCTACGGTGCTATTACTATTCCGTCTATACCACATGCCTACGGTGCTATTACTATTCCGTCTATACCACATGCCTACAGTGCTATTACTATTCCGTTAATACCACATGCCTACAGTGCTATTATTATTCCGTCTATACCACATGCCTACGGTGCTATTACTATTCCGTCTATACCACATGCCTACGGTGCTATTACTATTCGTCTATACCACATGCCTACGGGGCTATTACTATTCCGTCTATACCACATGCCTACGGGGCTGTTACTATTCCGTCTATACCACATGTCTACAGTGCTATTACTAGTCCGTCTATACCACATGCCTACGGTGCTATTACTATTCGTCTATACCACATGCCTACGGTGCTATTACTATTCCATCTATACCACATGCCTACGGTGCTATTAATATTCCGTCTATACCACATCCCTACGGTGCTATTACTATTCCGTCTATACCACCTGCCCACGGTGCTATTACTATTCCGTCTATACCACATGTCTACGGTGCTATTACTATTCCGTCTATACCACGTGCCTACGGTGCTGTTACTATTCCGTCTATAACACATGTCTACAGTGCTATTACTATTCCGTCTCTATTCCGTCTATACCACATGCCTACGGTGCTGTTACTATTCCCTCTATACCACATGTCTACAGTGCTATTACTATTCCGACTATACCACATGCCTACAGTGCTATTACTATTCGTCGATACCACATGCCTACGGTGCTATTACTATTCTGTCTATACCACATGCCTACAGTGCTATTACTATTCCGTTAATACCACATGCCTACGGTGCTATTACTATTCCGTCCATACCACATGTCTACGGTGCTATTACTATTCCGTCTATATCACATGCCTACGGTGCTGTTACTATTCCGTCTATAACACATGTCTACAGTGCTATTACTATTCCGTCTCTATTCCGTCTATACCACATGCCTACGGTGCTATTTCTATTCCGTCTATACCACATGCCTACAGTGCTATTACTATTCGTCGATACCACATGCCTACGGTGCTATTACTATTCGTCTATACCACATGCCTACGGTGCTATTACTATCCCGTCTATACCACATGCCTACGGTGCTATTACTATTCCGTTAATACCACATGCCTACGGTGCTATTACTATTCCGTTAATACCACATGCCTACAGTGCTATTATTATTCCGTCTATACCACATGCCTACGGTGCTGTTACTATTCCCTCTATACCACATGTCTACAGTGCTATTACTATTCCGACTATACCACATGCCTACAGTGCTATTACTATTCCGTCTACACCACATGCCTACGGTGCTATTACTATTCCGTTAATACCACATGCCTACGGTGCTATTACTATTCGTCTATACCACATGCCTACGGTGCTATTACTATTCGTCTATACCACATGCCTACGGTGCTATTACTATCCCGTCTATACCACATGCCTACGGTGCTGTTACTATTCCCTCTATACCACATGTCTACAGTGCTATTACTATTCCGACTATACCACATGCCTACAGTGCTATTACTATTCCGTTAATACCACATGCCTACGGTGCTATTACTATTCTGTCTATACCACATGCCTACAGTGCTATTACTATTCGTCGATACCACATGCCTACGGTGCTATTACTATTCCGTCTATACCACCTGCCCACGGTGCTATTACTATTCCGTCTATACCACATGTCTACGGTGCTATTACTATTCCGTCTATACCACATGCCTACGGTGCTGTTACTATTCCGTCTATACCACATGCCTACGGTGCTATTACTATTCCGTCTATACCACATGCCTACAGTGCTATTACTATTCCGTCTATACCACATGCCTACGGTGCTATTACTATTCCGTCTATACCACATGCCTACGGTGCTATTACTATTCCGTCTATACCACATGCCTACAGTGCTATTAACCAAAACCTAATTACGGTATATGGTACGAATTGTTTTCTTCAACTTTATCTAACGAAGTATATTCCTATAAAGTATAGAATACATGTATGTCTCAGTAGATTAAATACTTCTTCGCATTCATTGAGACTGGAAGATAAAAAAAATGTGTCTTCAGAACAAAGACATTGTAATGAATGTAACTCGACATACATGA